ACAATTTGGACCTTCTTTGTATGCACTTGAATAACAGACTAAAAGCATACGTGAATGTTAATTGCTTCGGCCATACATTCAAGTAACGAACCGTACATTTCATTAAAATCAATCCATATTTTGCACTGGATTTCTTTACATTATTCGGACGTTCATAGATTTTAACGATTAACTCTGAATCCTTATGACAATAACTGAACATAATATTGTTTTTAAAATGGGTTTCTTTTAAACTACGTTTTTTCTCTGAAACTTGATCACCATAAATACCGATCATTTGGAACACCGAAACTGTTCCCTTTGAATAGTACTTGCACTTTCTTTGGATCTTCGTGGACATGACGTTCCCGTAGCTGAAACTGGATTCCTTGAGCCGGTAATACCAATGGATGATCTTTCGCTTTCGTCGATATAATCGAGAAATAGAAGATTTTCACGTAGCAATTGAGCAGCAGGCAAACTGAAGACAATTGCCCAGATAACTTCTAATGATGGAAGTTGAACAGCTACCATATCAAATTTAGAATCGTTAGCACATGTTGTTAACACAGACAGACCGTCTTGTTCAACCACTTGTGATTTAATTTGTTCATTTTGAATAAAAACTATAAAAAAAAAGAAATCGCAACAGAGTAAGTTAATTATGACTACGGCCAATTATGCTGAAGCGCACAATCAACAGAGGTCTTCTTTAGTAACTCATAGTACTTGCTATCCACAAAACATAATTGTACCTGATCTTTTTTTAGATAACTTTTGATGCGAAAGGGCCGAACACTTTCCGCTTTTAGTTTTCGATCGACGACACTTTCGCCTAAAGGTCTATGAAAAAAAAACGTGTCGAGAAGGCAAACAGTGGAGTACCTTGCAGATAAAAACGTAAAAGAACAACTTTTCCACGTGTATGTGTGAACTCTAATTACTTTTTAGAGATGATTGTATACTATCTAGACAACTATGCACTTTTCGTTACTTGCTGATACGGGAACGGGATACATGAGTATCCCCTGCCAGTAAACGAGAAACATTTTACTTTATTACAAGTTTTCTCTATTATATATTTTGGAAGGTAGCAACTAGATGATTATTAGGAGACACGCATTGTATTGCTGGTTCCATTAACTTTCATAGTGGAAATGGTTTTCGAGAACAACAGACAAACGTTCTGGACTGACTTTCTAGTCTTGCAAACTTACCTTTTAAACGAACCATAATATCTGTTAATTTAATTTCCTCATAAATCTGAAATTGTCGTTGCATTGTTTTCGACAGGTAGTGTTGATAGGATGATGTAATTTCATCGGGTTGTTGTAATTTATTGATATCAACGCACATTAGGCAGATTAATGTTTGTACATGAAACTTTGTTGTATTTTTACGTGCTCGCATGTGTAGAACGGAAAAGATTTCTGGTTGTTTTAATGTTTTTAAATGATCAACTACCGATGTTTCAATCGACAGATTACATGGTAAAGCAACGACAGTCTCTAAAAAATCATGATGATTATCGTTGACGACATGATCAATGACCAGTGATTTATATCGGGCATTCCAATTTTTCTTTTCAACAATTAAAACTGGTAAATGAAGTAATGCAATGAGTGTATTAATAAGATGTAAATTTTATCGTGCACACCGTCGGAAATGTGTTGATAATGTACATGAATTCATGAGTGTTTTATCACGGGCGAAGGCAATCGAGAGTGAGTTACAGTCATAACCTCGTAGACCACAAACTTTGTCGAGAATCGTTCTACTCCAATTGAATAGTGTTTGACATAGATGATTAAGTTGTTCACGAGATAGTGTCGGAGAGGCAACATTCTTGTTCTTTGAGGAATTCGTCGTTGTAGTGGGTACTATGAATTCAGGAAATAGTCTTAATGTAAGCGTTCGTCTACTAAATCGCTCTTTAGTACGCGATTTCCCATGATCTTCGTCATAAAATTGGACGAATTCGTTTGGAAAATATATCAGAATACATTTTAGTAGTGAAACAGGCGCAATTATTTTCTAATACACATCAGCATATTTCGTTTTGAATACATACGGTGTATACGTTTATAAAAGCTACATAATGCAATATACCGAAAATTATCTTCGGAATATTCAGTTTCTGAAATATCTTCGATACATCGTTTAACTTTCGTTAAAGAAACATTTATAACCATATTGATCCCAGTATAGAACATATCTGTAGGAAACAACTGGTACTTTGCCCTGTTTGTTCAATACCGTGTTTATCAGCTGTTGTATTCAACATCTGTCAAAACCATTCGTTTTTAGTTGATCATAACGTTTTGTCAAGACTTGTTTTACTGACTCACATTCTTTTCTGTTGGCCATAATAGAACTTGTATGTACGAATTGTTCTATATTTACCGGCAAACGCTTCCGTTTTCTCCGTCTCAGCCATATTACTAAACGGAGAACTTATTCAGTTATCCATTAGAAATAATATAATTTCTGAGGTGAGGTATAAAATTGAATCGCGTATTCAAAATAAATCAGATCTTTTTAAAGAAAATATGCTATGCTGAGCCGGTCGAAGAAAATGAATCTTTTCCTTAATGCCGTCCTCTCGTATCAAATAGGAATGAATCAAATGTTTTACACTTACCTTGTTTGATGCTTACTTTTCCTTTTTCCTTCTTTTTTTTGCTTTTTAAAGGTATGTCAATGCGTTTTGAATAAGCCACAATTACTCTGAAATTGCAATTTTACTTTTATCGTACTATATAAACAAAAAAAGTAATATCTTTTTTTCTTTTCTGTACAAATAAAAAACTGAGTATGTAACTACTATTTGTACCAGGCACTTGGTAAAGTACCAATTTGTAAAAAGAGTTTGTCTTTTGAACAACACAAAGTATATGAATCAACGGATGAGTACTTTTCCAAGTGCTTAGCAAAATACCAAGTTATATACTTCGTTTTTTATTTGTAGAAAAAAGAGAAAAGGATGTTGCTTTTTTTGTTTGTATAATACGATTAAAATAAAATTGCAATTTCATAGTAATTGTTGCTTATTCAAAAATACATTCACACGGCTTTAAAAGCTTTTTTGTCGGATCTAAAGTGACAACGCTCGGATAAAGGTCGACATTTCAAGACATATTATGAACTTGAAATGAATCGCATTACTGTATGATTATTGTCTAAATGGTTTGAACAGAAAGATAGCGTTAGCATTCTTCTATATATCGGCTGATGTAAACGTCATTAGATCTTGGATTCAGTCGCAGAATTATGCTAGTTTCCGTTATATCTAGACTTGTCGGCAGACAGATTGCTCGGCTGGCAAGTGACTAACTATCAATCTCTCTAAATCGGTCGATTTTTCCAGTCGATTGATCGGTCGATCTTCAACAGAAGACTTCTTTCTGAAGAAGCGATATGAAAAGACATATGTAAAGATTTCAAATGCAAAGATTCATCGTAAAACGAAACAAAGATGCTTAGAATCGCTATTTTATAAGAGACGACTGTACCAAAAAATCGAAAAATTATTAAATACATAACAATAGAAGTAGACGTAGAAAAGAAGTTTTTAGAATTTATGGAAGTAGGAGTTGCTAATCACCCGAAAGAGCTAAAAAATATCAAAAAAATTGAACCAGATCAAGGAATCAAGGATATTCAGATGGAGTATGTGTGAGAACGTTGTTCACTTAAGTTTAAAGTCGACCAAACGTTCAGAATTCTCCGCAGATATAAGGTACCGATAATTCAAAAATTACAGCAAGAATTTTTTTCGCTTTTTTTGGCATGGCTGGGTACAGCTCATCGAATTGAATTGCAAAAACATAATATTGTTGTTAGTTTTAATGATTTTTTTGAGAAATAAAAAGAATTTTTTTTGCTACTTTTTTCTCTCCAATTCATTCTGGCAACGATCTCTACAAGTCAATGTTTAAATTGTTGTGTTAAAAGTATAGCACGTATAACAACTGCTTTTCTAAGTTGTTCCAGCTACAACAACCACTGTTGCGATATTTTCGACACAAATTTTATGGACGTTCGATAACAATGCAAATGATTATTTTTACAATATTTATAATGGTGCAGAATTGAATAGTCGAGGTACATGAATTGGCGTTCCGTGATACAACGAAGATTACCTGTAGACCTTATCAGCTAACTGTGCTACCAGACTGTAATTTTCTTTGCATTTTGTTTCGCCTATAATTTTCGAACGGAGAGACGTCCAGAGCTCTCGAATGCCTCAAACTAAAGTGTGCTGTAGAAAATTGTTTTTCTGCCCCTAAAAAAGAAAACTTTCGAGACTGAAACAAAGTTAAAATTAAGCATCAGGTTAAAAAGAAGAAATTTATGGGCCTTCCACCTAATTTTTTCTAGTGTTTCCTCGTTGTAGTTTCGGCAAGATTATTATTTTCTTTCCGTTTTAACACAAATTCACAAAACTCACAAAAGATATTTTTTTCGAAAGTTGTTGTTTTAAATCTTGCACACTTTTTTAGCAAATTATTACTGTATGAAAAACCAAATCTACAAGAAATAAAACGAATTTAAATCTCAAACTACTGTCTGTCCAACAAAATAGTGAATGCAGCTATATTCTGAATTAGTCAATAACAATGATAGATAGAGGAATACAGTTTTAGCCATCCGACAAAGGGCACTTAACCACATTATTTTTTAACAGAAAAGGATCTGAAACTCTTTTTTCCAACTAGGTTTTCCAGGAAAACTAGACTGTGTGTAAAAATTCCCCAATAGGATTGTATTGATTTTTTCTCGTGGCCTGATAGCTCGGTGTATCCTCTTCAAAATGGGAGTCAAGTAAGACTTTGATTTTCCGCGGTTCGGGCGTTGTGTGAGATTTCTTTCTAGTATCAGAACCGGCGACTATTGGTAGCCTTGAAGACGGATAGACTTTGAGTAATCAACTGTACTGAGGCCCCTAGCAATATTTGTTTTGAGAAAAAATTTTAAAAATCTAATCGAAAAAGGAGTTTTACGAAAATTAAGATGAAGATTAAGAAAAAGCGGAAGGTCATTTTCCAATAAAATGCTTATTTTTTATTCAAATAAAGTGAAAATTTTTTTACATAGGCAAAAACTGATGATGAATCTAATGGGTATACTTTTGAGATCTCTAGAGG